CATTATTAGATTTATTATCATTCATGGAGCTTTCTGTATTATCTTGCTCAAAGTCATCGTCATCATCTATCCCCATTATTTGACCATAGTTGTCATCACCGTTGTCAACACCAGCGGCAGCATCGTTGTCACCTTCCGCCACTGGCACTGTTGTAACGTTACCAAATCACTGCCATAGTCATTGTCGTCATCTTCATCAGATGTTTCATCATTGTCATCTTCATCATCATTGTCATCATAAGCCCAATCATCTTCAATATCATCTGTATCACCTTTCACTTAACATAATCTTAAATAATCATCATCAATAATCTTTATCATCATTGTCGTCTTTATTGACATTGTCGTCATCATCATCAATCATCCTCATCTTATAACATCAACATCATTATCATCAGATCAACATTTGTATTAATCATCTTTATTGATAATAATAATAAATATATTGTATTAGAAAATTTCCAGTAGCAAAAATATTTGGCACCGACTAATGCATTTGCATTTTAATGTGAATTAAAATGTATCGTATCAAAAATATAAACCATGAAATTGTTTCTATCTAAACCTCAAAATTATAGCAAGAAACAACCTTTGCTGGGCAACTAGCATTCCCATCATACTTAGAAAACCACCTGTCATTCTTTCTGTGTTGTTAAACCAGATCACTGCCATAATCATTGTCATCATCACCATTGTCGTCATCATCATCATCATTGGCCTAATCATCTTCAATATCATCTTCATCATCGTTGGCGTCGTGATCAGTAACACCATCGTCAACATCATTATCATCAGATCACCATTTTCATCAGTCATCTTCTTCATTGATAATTACCAACAATTAAAAAAAAATGTTTCTAACATTCCAACCATATCATGAAAACCACCTGTCATTCTTCCTATAGTCAAAAGGTCTTTTTCACATATTACTGCTAATAAGGAGGCAAAACTGCCTTTTGCAATTCAAATCAAATATGTCCCCAAGCTACTATAGAAACTAAAATACATTCATCTACATGAATTATGCTAATACAGTGCTATGATTTGATAGGCATTAAAGTTCTTTCTTTGCAGAGCTACAGTAGTCAAATCAGTTTGTATGCCATAAAATGTGATAATACTGTAAAGAATATTCTTAGCATTAGTCCTATGAATTAAACTATTTTAAAAACAAGTTAACATTTTAAAATAAATTATAAAAATAATAATTAGAAGAATTTTGGTATGTGTTTGAAACAGAATGTGGCTTTCCTCATTGTCATATGGGTACTGATGTTGAAAGTACAAAAAATTAATTAAAAAAAAAAAACTATAAAGTAAAAACTACATGAAAACAAGAATAAAATCCTCATAAAGAAAATTATGAAGTAAAACAATAAAAACATGGAAACCAACTCAACATTATTGAAACTCAAACTATGGCTGCAATTGTAATAGCAAGGGTAATATGGAGAGTTCCAACCATTGTGCTAAAAGAACCCGATGCAAAGATGAGTACATTTTTAGTTCAATTTGTCACGTAAGGTTGTAAATAGAGGATGAAAATTGCTCCATGCATTTCACAGTAATTTTGCATTTAACCTAATGTAGCGGCAGCTGGTTTGAAACTCTTTAGAAAACACAAACTGAGACTCAAAAGTTTAATTACCTGTTTTACTAATCATAAAAATATTTAGGACAGAATAACCCGAATAAAAACAATTAGCTAAATTCAGGTTGAACGGTAAAGCAAAAAAGGGTGTGTTTCTACTGAATATCGAGAAAGAAACGGTTCTCTTATCATTGGTTGATTATCAGAACCGCGTTGCAACTGCATTTTGACTGCACATGAAACGTTTACCAGACTGACGTCTCTATTAACATGACATAACAATCGTTCAGAATGCAATTTCAAATGACCTTTATAATGAAACTTAAATGCTTTTAAAACTACATAATAATATTTTCACGCGACTACCAAAATACAATGTCGGTTTTAAATAAAACAATGGTTAAACTTTTGTTTTTAACATTTGTTTTACTGATTCCTTCTATAATAGTAAATTATTATATCGTCGGGACTACCAGTGATATGCCTACTAAAACTGTATCACTGGATGGACTGGTGGATCACTCCGATAATTCGGGTCATTATTATTTAGGACTTCAGAATTTGTCCAAAGTAAATTTATGTAGGGGGCCTAAAATAAGAAGTATTTTACAAAGTCTGGTAAAAAGTAACTCTTAATTGCATCTTATTTGACAATTCTTGACATAGGCCTAGCCTAGTGGCAAAGTTGACCTTAGGTTAAATTAGGTCGCTATTTATGCTGCAGTTAAAAACTACCCCACGAACAGTTCCTTAGCATTCCCGGCACGGGATTGATTCCGTGCCAAAGAACCATTCTTTGGAATGCCAAAAAGAACAGTTCTTTTTTGTGAGCCCCGTTTCTACTGCCACAAAGGACCGTTCCTAAAAAGAACAGTTCTTAAGAACGGTTCGTTCTTGTCAGTACTGTAGAAACAGGCCCAAAGTTAAATGGACCATGTGAGTGAAATATGGAGAGACACTTGCCTTTCTCATGCTGTGAACAGGCTGTGATTTTAGTGAATTATCAGATTGCAAGCTACAGTAGTACCGTTATCTTTGTTATTACCAATATTAACACTTTATCACAGCAGTTTATGTTGTGTGAGGTCAGTAGGGAAGTAAATAATATAGTAGGCCTACCCTGGTGGTTTATGAAGTCATGTGATAGAGTATAAGGAATACAGGTACTTGGGGTGTAGGCTGGTTGTGGCCTGGGGATGGGGTGAAAATTCGGAGTGTGGAACTAAATCATAGAAAGCAGAACTAAATCCCTATTCCAATGAAGTCGTGCGGTGATTTTTAGTATTTTTAACCATAGCGAAACTATTATGATAAGTCTGTGTAGTTGGACTTGTTCAATCTTTTTTTACTTGGTGCACATTTCCATGTAGGAAAACAGTTCCCTCTAAAAAAATTATAAAGAAAATAATAAAATGTTTATTATTGACAGTAAAACATTTTTATTACATAGACTTAAGGAATAGTGTGACAGAATAATGAACATATTTTTGAGCATGTTTTTATTGATGAGAACAAAATTTTAAGTTCATCAGCTGCTGTTTGATTGTTTTAATTGATGGACAACATTACCTAAGTGTTATTCTGAAAATGATAAGTTGTTGATTATAATTAATGGAGCTAAACTTGGGCCTGGTTTCAAACATCTACAGTACTGTTTAAATTTTGTTAACTTGAAAGTGGACTGTATGATATATAAGAAAAATAAATACTCACCGTTCGCTTCTGACATCGAGAGCTTCGGCTGAAAGGTCAAACTGATCTGCTTGGAAACTGGTTCTAGAGGTTAGGTTTACGTCTCAAATAAAAACATTTTCATGCTCAGAGAGGTCTTTCCATTCTTGTCATTCCAAGTCAGTTTTTACCATTCTAAATGTGAACCTACCTGGATCAATACACCACTTAAAACGATTACAAAACAAGGTCTAGCTACTGCAGGCCCGTCTCTAGGGGGGTTTTTATGGTTCGGGAGAACCTCCTTTTCTAGCAAACCCCCCTCTTTTCTGGCGAACCCCCTCCCCTTCTTCAAATTTCCCAAATAAGTCCTCCAACCCAACTAATGCACTGCAGACAAAGACCTTTTCAAACTGCTTTTATAGCATTATTTAGACCTATAAAGCACAAAAATCCCCTTGCTTTTGGGGTTTTGCCAACCCCACCAGGGCTTCGACCATGTACCTCACGCCCAGAAAACCCGCCCTTGGAAAAACCTGCCTACGGGCCTGTACTGTAATACAGTAGCCCTCCCTGGACTTGAATACGTACAGTATCTTGCTGTTTGAAATTATTTTGTTTTTGTATTTGTCTTTATTTTTATTGTTTGTTTTCTTGCCCTCCCTCAGTTTTTGTTCATTTGCTGGACCACTGTTTCGTATTTTTTTGCAATTTTGTTTTTTTCTTTTGTCTTGATAATAAAGTGATTTAAAAAAAGAATATTTATGAGTCATAGCAACATAGCAATCATGTGAAAGTAATTGAATTTATAACGTTCACTGTGATGAATGATGAGGTAATTATTTTAGGACAGTGAAAATTGAGTTTAATGCAATTTGGAAACAGGTTTGCTGCAGTGTTAAGCCCCTCTCCCACCTAGGTTGATTTCATCCAAGAGTTGCGCGAGTTCCACGAGTTAGAAACTTGTGAAACCCATGATTTAATTCGTTGGAAAAGGACCGCTATATGAGCTTACTACCTGTTAGCTATGAGTGAGGTACGACCTTACAGAGTTGGTTATGAGTTATATACGAATTATGCTGAGCGAAGCACCAAATTTACTACAAGCTTTACAAGATTATTACTAACATAGCGAGTTTGTACCATATTAGATACGAGTAGGTAGGAACATTCAGACCAAATGTTCCTGGTGATCGTAACCAACCTGGTGCACTCATACTTAACTCATACTCATTTTGGGGTGCTCGCATCAAACTTGTGCATTACAAAACCGCCAACGAGTATCCCGAGTAGTTTACGAGTTAAGCAGGGGTACCCCGAGTACTCTACAAGTTGCCTACGAGTTCTTTGAGTTTACGTCAACTTGTAGACCTATTTTTAAACATGTTTAATATTAGCACCACAAGTTTAGAATTTGCTACAAGTAGGTACGAGTTCTCTCTGAGCTTTCCGAATCCTGGTACAAGTTTTTACTGAGTTAGTAACTCGGCAAACTCTTCTAACTCAAATGGTGAAAAAAAAAACCCTACTGGGAGAGGGGCTTTAGTGCCACAAACTCTCTACCTTCAGGTCAGAAGTTTGAAATTCTCACTGTACTGTAAGTTTTGTGTGTCTTTCGACAAAATGCTTTATCTATGATAATGTTGTCTCTGCATTATTTGTTTTCTTTTTAAATTTTAAATCAACAAATTTATCAATTCTTGATTTAATATGTTTTATATTATTTTTACTTGGTCAGGTTGGTACGATTCACTCTGCAATACGAGAGGCAGCAAAACATGTTGAAGGGAAGTCATACAGTCAGAATGAGAGTCACCAGTTGAAAGAGATGCCATTTATTGGTGACACAATTCTGGATAGTAGTAACAGTTACGAGGTTTTATACTGTGGCAGGGTGGTTGTTTCACACAAGAAAGCACCGCCATCGCTCATTGACGAAGCTATAGCCAAGTTCAAAGAGTTTGAAATATCCGAGGATTACAGTGACAGACGGCGGCGACATTTCTCAACAGGAGACCAATCAAGGTCGCGTTCCAACAGCGTTGAAAGGAAGAAATCCCAGTCTGTTGATGATTTAGATTGTGTTGATAATATGCTTTTGAGAAATACGAGCTCTGAATCGTTAGACTCAAAAACGGACAGCGAGTGCGAATCTGACATTGGAATCCCACGATGCAACAGTGATGTGAGCAACAGTTCTAGTACGTATATGTCCGTACATCGAGGAAGCGTTCCGACCTTTGACAGACAATTGAGCATTGCCACGTTACTGATGCGAAAACATAACCCGCAGAATCGCACAATGTTGTTCCAGATCGGCAAAGAGACATTAACGCTAATCAGCCCGGGAAAAAAGACAGCAGTGATGGCTAAAAGGTTTTGCGACATCTCATTTTGTTCCCAGGTAAATTTTGACTGTTCCTCTATCATCTAGTTGTGATATTGATTGTGATTAATTCTTTAAGAAATAGACACATTTGCAGTTGCATTTGTAGGCCCCTATATTGCCTTCCTATGCTTACTGATGAACTAATGAATCAAAGACAAATTTTGGCTTGGGTTAAAAATAATGAATTACAAGGTTTTTTTTTTTTTTCTAGTGAATAAAAATAACTCCATTCTCTAGTCTCAATGACATTTCACACAATACTCCATAGTTTGATCCCAATCCTATAATTGTGCAATATCAATACATGATGAAGACTTATTTATTACAATAAAATCACAATCAACATTGGAAATAAGAATATCCAGTTTGCATAGGGCTTTAGAAGTGCTGTTAGCACATTCTTTATTGATTATAATGGTAACTCATAACTGATGCCCAATTCCACAAAAACACCTCTTACAACAAAAGGAAACAAAACAAACAAACAATGACAAATGATTTCATTTTTAGCAACATACACTCAATAGAAGCTACTCTACACTCATAACAAGCTGTTTGTAAAATATTAGGTTGCTTTTGACAACTTGTTGATATCTATATTTGGCAGGTGTTTTCAGACAAAATCACTCTGTTCATGTGCTTACGGTAATAATGAGAATACAGTTGCTTTGAGTACTCTAAAAAAAGCCTATTGTAATAAATGTTTGATAGAACCTATTAATTTAAACTTAATATTTTTGATTTTATTTACACTAGCCTCAGTTAATGTCATGACAAAAATCTTGAAATGAAAGAAAATATTGATCGTAGTCCATGTTTTGACGCAAGTGGGGTTTTAGGGTTGTGGATAGGTTTAATAAATTAATGCTCTGAATCTATAATACACGTTGATAGCAGACCTTTTGAAAAGGCAGTTTTCCGAATTGAAAGAAAACAAATAAACCAATTCAGAAAATGTTTACAGTATCCTAGACTGATTTTCTCTAAATGTTTTCAGACCTGAAGTTAAACAATATCATCAACCCAGTTGTACTCAACCTAGAAACTTAATTTGAAACCCAAAATAAAAATTAGGATGTGATAGGAATTATATTAATAACAATTTTCGTATTGAGGAGAGACTAATTTTTTGCGATAACACATCCTTTATTGTTTGTTTGTTTGTTTGGTTATGGCTTTAATAATGGTCTCGGCATATATGTAAAAAGAATCACGTGCAAGTTACACAGTCATGAAACGCATAGTATACAAATGTTGACTGCTCATGCGGGGAATGGTGAAATCTATTGCTCCTCGGTGATGTGGAGACCATAGCCTATCTTACCTCATGCATTGCCCCGAGGTTATGTGGAGACTGTAGCCAGGAAAGATAGGCTACGGTCTCCACATCACCGAGGGGCAATAGATTTCACTGTTACCCGAATATAGAGCAGTCAATATTTGTTTTATATACCTCGTACATAGATTCTACGAGGCCTAAAAAAGAACTTACTTCCTAGCCTGTTATATTAGAGGCACACTAGGCCTACTACTATCACTCGACTAGCTAGGCCTAGTCTAGGCGATCAAAGAGGGTCTAGGCCTGGCTCTTCTTTGCTTATTTCTTCAATTTCAACAGCACCATCATCTTGCAATATATTTATAGAATATTGATAAGACATTATTTTTTGTATTTTGGTGCTTTTGCTATCGGCTTCATCAAGAAGTACTACTCTATGCCTAGGCTAGTCCTACTTTATCTCGAAACGAGCAGCCTCCATATTTGTTTTATCGTCTACTCGCTGATCCATGATGTGGTCTGGGGATAATCTCGTCGTAGAGGTCGCAGTCCCCTTTACTGTCAGCAGCGCGATGTAGTGGGCCTAGAGTTTGCACATCGCGACAAGTCAAAAAAGTACTATTTTTGAGGGGAATAGTACTTTTTGAGGGTAATAGTACTTTCTATTGCCTCGCTTCTTAACCAATCAGATGCCTAGAATCTACTGTATGTACTGTATGAGGTATAAATAGGCTATAATACAGTTAGTGCACAGAATTCCCAGCTCGCTGTGTTGCGTTTCACACTCTGTGCCTTTGCATTCTAGATAATGGCTTCTTATTGACTAGCTGGTCGACATGCTCATTCAACCTTACATATGCCCTTAATTGTTTTAATCAGTTTATATTTAATAATATAAAAGTATTGGCTTCATTATTGAGCTAAATATTATCTTCATTAGAAGATGCTGAACATACATTTTGAAATGTCACTAGGCCTAGTTGAAAAATTTGCATTTACCGTACTGTGAAGTTCCATCTCATGAACATAATTATTATTGATTGGATAATTTTGTAAAATTATAAATCAACTAATACATAGGAATTAGAACACTGATTTCTTTCTGACTGGCATCCAAATCCGCCAGGATTTTGCAGTGGGATAATACTAGGACATGAGGCCTACTGACAATAGGTATCCCAATGAGAAATTTCAAATTCATTATTGTGAATTCTCTCTTCATTTAATATGCAGAACTTACTGCACTGATCACTTTCCAGTTTAAATGAATGAAATCCAACATACCGTTCAAAAGTTATTGCCCATCAAAGTTGCCAAAAATGGGGGTCAAACGGTTAAAAAACGGCGTTTTTCATCAATTGCCATTTTGAGCATTTTTGGAGGGCCATAACTTCAAAAATAATCATAGAAAACATCTAATTTTCACCAATCTGGTAGATCACATAGGGTTTTATGCGTCTATTTTTTTTGGGGACACTCTGCAATGCTGTCTCTTATACACATCTAGATGTGTATAAGAGACAGACGTTGTGTCGTCAAACCTTGTAATGCAGCAGTCAAAGCCAGTATCAACTCATTTGCTTCAGCCATACTGTATAATCTGCTCAACTGTTAAATAATTTGGATAAATATACAAGCATACAAAATATAATGCAATATAAATAAATCTATCTATACAATCAAAAAAATAAAGTTATCTATTTTACTAGGTGCTCCAATTCCACAGCATCCAGGGGTCTTGCATCTAGACTCAGCTCAGTTCATCGCGTGGTATCAACTCTCAGCACGTTACACCACCTCTAGACTAATTGAAGCATTGTCTCTCGATCAGTCGTTACATGGAGTTCATCTGTATCATCACAGCTGCATCAAACCGCTGCCACCAATTTGTCGTGGGCGAAACGTTGAGTCAAAGAATGAACTAAGACCAAAGTAACTCCCCATTGAGAATCGCGCCTGAATAACAATAATGGTTAAAATGATCCATAATGATTTATGGAAATTAATTCATTTTGAATGTAATTTAGAACTAGCACAAAAGATTCGTTTAAGTTTCTTATTATCATTAATGTATTTAATAGTATAGGTATTGTTTAAACCTAGGCACATGACCTGTACGAAGTATGTGCTCCTGTAGACCAAACCTCAACAAACACAGTAGCGTTTCGATTTAAATCGTACGGGAAATCCACTCATAAGATATACGCTCATTATTTATGCTTGCACGCCTGTCTCTTATACACATCTAGATATCTTATTTTTATTGACATACATTCACAATGAGTATTTTATTCTCAACATCAAAATCATGTCATTTCATCAAATTTCATGAATATTTCCGGACTGTGGTAACGCAAAACGGGTTTCATTGGGATACCTACTGACAAAGAGGCTGTGGATAAAATCAATTTGTGGAAATAGCTTGACTGTTTTTTTTTGGTTTTTTTTTTTAATTAAACATGCACAATTACAATTATTGTTATGGTGTTTTGTAATGTATACAGTACTCAAAAATATTTTTTTCCCCTTCTACTGGCTGGTATCTTAATCTTGTTTGATTTGAAACCCAGGATCCTAGGTCATAGGCAAAGCAACAGTCTTTAAAGTATGGCTTTGAAAATATACTAAGTGGTGTGGAGAGAATAATACTAACCTGTCACTTTAGGAGAACATTTTAAAAGTGTAGATCTGCATTTAGTTAAAATTATATCCTGACCTTATACTTAAGATGAAGGCTAGCATCTGAAATCCAACAATAACTGGAATGGTAGGCTTATAATATATTCAAGCATGGGATACTTAATGATATACCTGTCTATAGTGCATTCTGCGAAAAGCCTTCAACAAGTCCTAAAGAATACAGCTTAAACTATTCAAGAATACGTATTTAGTGTGCACCTCGTCAACAATGCCACCATGGGATGCAGGAGTGGATCTGGGTTGAAATTTGGGGGGGGGGGAGAGTCAAAATGTTTCCAAAAAACCCCCAAAAGCATCCCACCCCCAGGGGGGTGTCAAGACTACCCTGACCCCCTCAGGTCAGCCAATGGCTTGCTGATCCTTCAACCAATCCCAGCTCTATGGCACTCCAGTTACCATTTTGGAGGCAAAAATTGATAAAACAGCATACAGTAATTTAGACACATTTTTAAAAATGTGGACCCAATAGGAAAATTGTGTGGGAATGTCCCAACTGCCCCAGTAGCTAGCTACGGCATTGGTAGCAATACTGGCAACTAAATTTTAGTAGTTAGCGTGGTACCAGTCTTGTCAAACAGTCACTTGTTTGCGTAACCTATTCTACTTTCAGCTGAGTGTTATTAAGTGTTTGTTGTATGTCATTTAGATGATACAAATGCTTAGGATCAAGGAATCTCAAATCTTAAAATAAACAGGTATGTTCTTCAAAAGAAAGCGACAAAATCGTATGCAGTGTTGTGGTTTCTGTTGACTAGTTTTTTCGTTTGCTTGTGGTGTTGGGGTGCAAAATAATAAATAACAAGAGACACTAACATTTTTTGAATGATGCTGACTTAAAAGATTGCGCTTTTGCAACCGAAATTCGAATCATCAGAACAGCAGTCAGAGTTTTTGGGTGCAAATGTATTTACAAAATTTACTTTAAAAAATCGGTATAGAAGGAAATCTTTTATGATATTGTTTATTATCATTTTTTGTTTTTGTTTTTTGTTGTCTCTTTCTTGTGACTGTTTGGGAAAGATTGGGAAAATCAGTA